AAGCCAGTGGAGATTCTCCAGAGGATTAGCAGCAAGTCCTTCTGAGGGGAATTACCCTGATACAGCCATCTGGACTGCTAAACGCTGTGCACTAGACCAACTATCATTCAGCCAAATCTGAGGAACAGCTAGCTATTGCACAGCCATCACTCAAAACAAAACCACTCAACTATGTACACCATTATAAAAGTATAAACAACATTTTAGACTATTAAAAGTAGATTATCATTAAATCTAAAGGTGTGGCAGGTGTGTCTTCTGTCTTTAACGCTCTGCTAACAACTGCTGCCAACTTGCTTTTGAGAACAATCTCTAGATTGTTTCATATGCTGGAAGAAAAACATCTGGTTTATTGTGTTCAGCGGAAATACAATGAAACTTTCACCACATTCCTCAGTATTCATTAAACATGTAATAACACAACATAATGCACACACATCAAATGGTATTTTACCTGGCAACCAGTTGATAATCAGCAGAGCAAGGTCCGTGACTTGACTCTACTTCCTCTTGCTCTCTCTATCTTCTTACGTGTGACAAAAATGTCAAGACAAATACTTCTCTCTCAGAGCATACCTGTTTGCTTTGTGTAATGTCAACCACCAGCTCTCTTGCTTCTTCTCCACACTTCTTTGTGTGAGTGGTAACTGTAAACTCCAGGATCAGGTGTCTAGAAATGAAGAAGACAGAGAAAGAAAAGAAACTAATAAAAGAGAAGCAACCTGATGGACAGATACATACAAAGACATGCCAATAGAAAGATAAGGGCACAGTATATTGAGAGAAAAGTGGGCAAGAAATAGAGAGAGGAAGTTTTTTGCAGGGTGCACCCATGGGTGCCACCATTACCTTATCAGTGGCAGTGAAGGGGATGGGATAAAACAATGTTTACTCTCAAACTTGTTTTTCAGTTGTCACTGCGCATGTGCATCCATTTCCATCATCAACCATTAGTCACATTCCCAGGTTGTAGGACTACACAATGCCCTCCTAAGTTCTTTGTGTGTGTGTGTGTGTGTGTGTGATGCCATTAAAAGCCATAGGGATGTTTTGGACTTTACAGGACTTTTACTTGTAACAGAGTATTTGTACACAGTTTTATTGCTACTTTTACTTAAGTAAGGGATCTAAGTGTTTCTTCCACCACTACCAAATAGACTGTCAGAGGCTAGGTTTCAGTCATCATTAATGTATTCATATTTATAAAACAACTTAGGGATATTTGATGGTGAATATTTATATACTGTACACTTTATGTTTATTTGGACAAGATTGATTTATTTCTGTAGAAATGCCATTATTTTTCCTAATTTCTTTCATTTTTCTTCTATAAGTTTAAATCTCATGCATTGCCAGCCTGCATCGCACCACTAGAGGACAGCAGCAGTCTCATCTGGATCCATGACACATGAGGGACACACTGAACTTCAGCCTCACTGAGGACAGAAAGAACCAAAAAGAGAAAGATGTTTTGAATTCATTTGTGTGTGAGAAGAGCCCCGTCTTCCTTATGGTTGACTGCTGTATGTGGCCTTGTTTGTTTTGTTTTTCATTCTTCTGTTGTCTACACAACATCGCACGGTCATTCTGAAGCCTTCCCAGAAAAATGTCGGGACTTTTGTGTGCACCTTGTACAGTGTATTTCATACCAGCTGAGGAGAAGCTTCATATCTATCATCAACTAAACACTGTAGCTGATTATGATTTTTTAAAAATCCTTGTTATGTTATAAACTTAAATCTTATGAATTTTAAAATTAATGTTGTTAATATAAAACTAGCTGGATATTATATTACTAAGTATTACTTTATAAGGAGTTTGACACTTGTTTGACTCTTAGGGTAATAATACATTGACAGTGATTATAATCAACTGATGGCAATTCATTATCTTGCATTATCTTTTTTTAAAATTCCTTTTGTTATAACCTTATTTTAATGACATTGGTTGCTTTTAAAACTGTCTTTGGCTTTCCATCACTTTTAGTTTGATATCAGTATCACTATGATTGTTTTGTTTATATTCTACAAGCAGATGCATATCGCCAGCGCATAAACGTGGATAGATTTTTTTCCCGATTCAAATGTCTATGTTAATGCAATGCTGTTTATTTCAGCTGGAGCATATTTCCAGTTAGAAGCTATCCTCATTTTTCCAGCAGCCACCTGTTGTCCAGACTGTTGTCCACATACTGCATCTTAGACAAACTTGATGTGATCATTTCCTGTCTCAAGTGGAAACAATCTATCTTGGACAAACTTGATGTGAACATTTCCTGTCTCAAGTGGAAACAATCTTGTCCTCCAGTATCTGTGGTAAATTTCACAACCAAGACTGAAACCTGATTCTGGGGCTTTTAATATCTACTGTACTCTCCCAGCGAGGTTGTAGTGTGATTTCCCGGTTCTTAGAAGCATACTCACTTGGCAGCACACATGTTATAATCTCCTGTTTACCCTAACCCCAATAGCATCACAACATTCAGAGCCTTTACTATGAACCATCATTATTCAGGAAAACTGTCAAGGAACTTGCAAAAACATCCACACCTGTGGTCAGCATCTCTACTCCTGATTTTAGAAGAACCATCTGATATACATTACCCTACTGAGGTATTTGACGGTGTACCAGTACATCTTTGAGGCCGATCCCTTTATGTTGTCTTCACGAACTCCTTCCAGATCTGAGACTTGACCCCATCAGACCCTGGCTTTAGCAAAAACATGGAGTCACAGTTGGTTTGAACAGGGACCCCACTTTCTATGAACTGTACTAAGTTTGAATCTGACATCTTGATCAAAATCTTTCAGTACTCCACCATTATCATTCCATATCTTTCACACCACAACTTGTAACTTGTTAGTTGTCTTTTATCATTAATCACACTTTGTTATAATTTTTTGTGCTTATGTTGTTTTAAATTCTATGCTTGTTTTATTTGATATGCACTGTTGGAGGTTGACAGTTGCAGTTTTGTTGTGCTTGCACAATGACAATAAAGTGAACAAGAGCCAATAAATACAATTGCTGTCACAGTCATTGTGCTCAATGTAATGTCTCAAGGACACAATTTTCCTGTCTGTCAGCGTAAAATTAATTTTGCTACTGTTCCATAACTTGCCACAGGCAAATCAACAATTTCCAGCAGTATTCTCTGTATACTTGTATACAAACACTCAGTAAAATCATGGAAATTGAACTAAAAGGTACATAGGTTTAATGTCTTTCACCTTCTTTTTAATCTTTGGGGTAATATTTATTGTTTATTAAAGCATTTATGATGCTAATGATTTATGATAACAACTGATCTGTACTGTGCTCCCTTTTTAGATTAGATAATTTTTTGGTTTGAAAAAACATTGTCACCAAAAAAATCTTTAAAATAAAATAAGGAAGACCTGAGGAAAGCCGCAGAAGCACATGAACTGTAATTGGGCACTTCATTATTTGCCTTCTTCAGTTGAATTTTACTTGATCTGAATTCTTCTATGGCTCCCACCAGGTCTTATTCTATTGTGTGTTTTCTGTTTTTATTTATTTATTTTTTCAATTACTTGTTTGTAACCATTTAATTTTTGCTTTATTATACTATAATACTCCTCAGGCCCTAAGGAAAACAGAGCCACATGCCTCCTTTGTGCCCACTGTTTCCCAATTTAGTTTATGTAAGTGTTGATTAAACAGTTTATTTGTATAGTTTTTTGTATTTATATAAACCAATAGGCATTACATTGATTGTAATATTAAAGTTATTAAAACAGGGCTCCTCAGTAAATTAGGGGCTCATGATTAGGTGAAAATGCAGGAATCACCTTAAACCCCCAAGAGAAGTAGGAATTTTCACTTAGCCTGATTAGAACTCCTCTAAGTAAGATTGTGTGTGTGTGTTTGGTGACACCAGCACAGGTTTACTCAGCTACTACAACCTAATTATCCAGAGTAATTGAAAACACCTGTGTGTGGGTGTGAAGGGCTTGTCCATTGTCACTTTGTACACAGTGAACATGAGACCTTTAGAGCCCTGGGCTGTTCAACACTTTGCCTAAAGCTGATGATCCAGCAGTGATTGGGCTAGCATAGCAATGTTGTATAGCCTAGCAGTTCTTAGTGTGTGCTGTAGTGTTTATTGTGTAGTTATGTGCAAATTCTTTCTTGTCTTTTTTCTTACAGCTGTTAAAAGTAAACAGTTCATTTACTCAGCTAGTTTACTAAAACAATTTTAAGGTTTATCTGAATATAAAGTTCCATTTTGGCTCATGCTACTTCCACTCTAGAACATTTCAGAAGGCATATACTGTATACAAACAGATGTCTGACATGTTGGTCCATCTCTAAAGACCATAGCAAATGTTTTACATCATTGTCTTAGTCATCGAACAAGACCAGAGCTTTCCTGTAATTTGCAACCTATCGGTATATTCATTAGTTAATGCTAATGCATGCATTGCTTCTGCATAAATGGTTTATGTATATTTTCAATGATGGTCATGTAAATAATTCAGAGATTATCCTCAAATACAAATTGGCAGTGTTGTGCGATTTTTTTAATCGCAAAGGTTTATGAAGATGCAGCAGCTGCTTGCAGATTATTAAAGATAGTACAGACACCTGTCACACCTTTACAACATTAATACAGTGTGTGAAGGCTCATGTATACATGCTGTATGCTGTATATATAGAGAGAATGCATTGTTTGTACATCAGGCTTGGTCATTATGTGCTTTATTGTCATGTCAGTAAAGCACTTTTCTACTTCTAATGGTCTGGACAATCTCTTTCATTGTTAATAACAATAAACAATAGGCACAGTCGTTTATTAATGACACCAGTGGCCCACGGAGCAAACAGATGCACACAGCACAAGTTAATGGACAGTACAAATTGATTTCACTTTCAGTGCCCAGCTCTGTGGTGCCATGTACGCACGCGCGTGTGTATGCATAATTTATGTTTCTAACTGAGGGTTTCCCGCGTGCACGTGCATGCATGTGCTGGTGGAGTAGCATGCGCACAGCTTTTCAGTTTTCTATCCTTCCAGTGAACCGAGAGAGAGAAAGAGAAAGAGAGAGAGAGAGACTGTCTTGTCGCTTCCGGCTTCAAACGCACACACAAACTGCGCTTTACTACGAACAGAGAGTCGTCGAGCAACAGGCATGACACCAGAAACCTCCCCAGAAACTATTTATCCCGAGGGCAACTGTGAGAGGATTTAGCTCTGAAGTTTTCCCGAAAAGACCCGGGAGAGAGAGCGAACGCCCTGCTCGCGAGGGAGAGAGAGACATTTTGAAATCTTCTTCTGGATATTTTGGTGAAAATGTGAAGAAGCAGAAAAGGAGCGTCAAACAAGTTCGTTCACGGTGGAAATCAAAGACGCACAATAAGAGTAGAGCATAAGTTGATTTGGTGCAGAAGGACCCGCGTATTTTGTCTGTTTTCTGGGGGGTTTCGAGTGCCAGACACAAGAGAGAGGAATTATCCTCCGGTTGTTACTGCTGGTATCTGTTTGTAATATTACTCAGACCAATAAAAGTGTCCTGGAGAAGCTCTACAGAGGACGGGCCGGCGCTGAGGTAAGATAACACAGAGCCTACTGTCATATCAGGACCTCCAGCTGGAGAGTTTATTACTCTGTATCACCACCACCTCCCAGTGTAGATGGAGAGCTGTCAGGATTATAGACCTAGTCGTCCTTGTATGGGGATACCAAACTACATGAGCATTTTTTAAGCACTTTGATTCTTGTTTTAATTTAACAGTTGTATCTTTGTTCCATAAACAACAGAATTTAGTCTTCTTGAGTTTTTTTTTTTTTGCATCTCACCATAATATATGCTTTATGAATCCAGATACAGTACTTTATAGACATGCATAGTTCTATGTAATGTTTATTCATTTTTCGCCACAATATTATAGCATTGCATGGCCTCTGCAGCCAGAATTGTATCACCGTAACAAGGCAGACTCATTCCAAACACACATTCTAATCTGTTTGGGTTTGGCTTTCAGCAGCTTGATATAACAAAAATTATATATGCTGAAGAACTGAAACTCAAATATTGACAATCCACTTGGCTCTGTTTTTTTTATATATATTGTACACTTCTGTGTTTGTAGAGTAGTGTTTATTCATATTCAGACAGCTGGAGGAGGTAAACAGTTTGACAAAGTATCTTAATGAGTTGTTTTATGAACTTGCATCCAGAGCCAAAATGGGACCAGCCATAGAAACCCACCACTTGCTAATTAGATTGCACTAGATTATTTCTAGGGCTGCAGCTAACAGTTATTTTCATTATGGAATAAATAGCCTATACTGGATTCTTTGTTTGGTCTATAAAATAGTAAAGAGAGAGAGAGAGAGAGAGGGGTTCATCATATCTTTTCAAACATCATCAAGTCAGCTTGTTTTGTTTGACCAATAGTCCAAAACCCAGAGACATTTGCTGATGAAAAGAAAAGAACCAAGCTTTACGTGTGGGTCTTGTTCTGACAGGAATTTCATGTTTAGCAGATCCACTTATTTCGATAACTTTCAAATAAACTTTACATTGATGCAAAAATTATTCAAATACAATAGTACCATAAAATAGTCCTGCTCATTGATGTGTAATAATAGCCACAATGACCTAAAATACCCAGAGATATGAAAGGGAATTAAATAATATATAAATAGTATGACAAAATCTCTATATTGCAATAAATTGCCATGTTGCCTTGCTTGCTAACTACCTACCTATGTAAATGTCAGGACAATGATCATCAACAATCAGCTTCTTCTAAATCCTCTCCTCAAGTGAGTGTTTTTGAGTATACTCAGTGTTGATTTATTGCCCACTTGTGTAGGCAAGTGGACAGTTTGAGTACTCACACAGTCCCACTCAAGCTGACATTAGGCTGCGCTGATACACAGACATAATCTCGAAGCAGTTTACATGTGCAGTTATCCCAGCATCACGACACCCAGGATTTGTTCACTTTTTCTCCTTCTTTTGTTTTGGCTGCAGCTGCCAGTTTTGACTTGCTAAAGGCAGTATTTGTGAATTCTGCTTTAAAAAGTGGATCATATACCAGCACAATGCAAAGACATGGCCAGGGTGATGGTTTCTTTCAGTACAAATACAGTTGTGAGGTATTTGTACTTCAGTATTTTCATTTTCAGCTATGTAATACTTCAATCTCACATTTATTTGATCATTTTATTATTAGATACTTTTTGGAATCAAATTAATAAAACAAAATACAGTATTATTAATATAATATTTTATTAATTCACAACCTACCCAGCGGTACTTCAAATTATAAGCATAAGTTAAAATGACCTTTACCAGCTGCAACATGGACACAATAAAGCATCAATAATTATAATCCAATAATATAATATATTAATTTAATAATGCATAATGAATACTTTTACTTTTGGTGCTTTAAATGTGTTTTAATGCTGATACTTTGTACTTAAGTAACATATTGCATGCACGACTTTTACTTGTAACAGTTTTACACGCTTAAGTAACATATTGCATGTACGACTTTTACTTGTAACAGTTTTACACTGTGGTATTGCTACTTTTACTCAAGTAAACAATCTGAGTACATCTTCCACTACTGCTAATATGATACTATGGAAATGGCTGGAATGTCAGCACAGTGTCCATGAATAGTTAAGCTTATTTTCTGCTGACAGTTATTTTTTGACAATAATATTTTTAAGGGAGGTGGAGACATGTGGGTACTAGAGTAAGATATAAAAACAAAGAATGGCAAAACAAAATATATGCTGTTACAACATTTCTCATGCCCTTTTGTTTTGCTGAATGTTTTGTCTTCCAGTGAATATACTGTGCCTTTTTTAAGATGGTGCGGTGTGATGGATGCTCTCTGTTGTATGTGTTCCTACTGTCTTATGAAGTGCCATTAGATGCTAGATAGACTGTGGCTAAAAGTTACGTTAGTCCAAAATTTCAACAGTTGTTGTACCTGTGAGGACATCGGGGTGAGCACAGAATCCAGAGCTGTCCTTTAGTGCAACAACTCAGCTGTTTCACAGAAAGTAAATCCAGCATCTTGTGCATGAAAGATGACTAGAGAACTGAACCAAAATAGCCTGTAAACACCTCTCTTTCCTTCTTCACTCAGCTCTATCGGCCCTGCTCCTGTGCTCTCCCCTCTCTTCCCCTCCCTTTCAAACTTCCCTCATCCTCTATGGGCCTTCAGGTAGTTTTCATTTATGGATGTTAGCATCTAATAAGCAGCAAGACGTGATTATACAGTGTTAAAGAAAAGCGGCACTGGTGGTTAACAAGCTATTTGAGAAGCAAGCCATTCAGATTGCTTCCTGCCTCTCTCTGACTGTGTGACTCCGCAACAAGGAAATCCCATGTTTACCTTGTAGTTCATGACCTGATGTCTTAAGTTTTCTGGAATGAAAATGTCTTTCAAGGCGATTAGCTTGAGAACGATATCAGAAGCTCTTGTTTTCAAAAATAAAAGTGGGAGGTTAGGTTTAGTTGTGCCCTACAGGACAGAACTAATTACATGGTGTGAAAAACTACACAGCGTGTCTCTGCCTCTGTGTGGCTGTGTGACTCTTCAGTACACCCATCTAGTCTCACTGTCACTGCTGCTGAGGTTGAAAAGGAAAATTACAGTTCCTCTTTAAGATGATCACTTAGCATTTTAATTACATAATAAAAAATATTTGCCCATAAGCCAGATTTATTGTTAATCATTCCACACACCAGTAATGTCAGTCCCACTCATGCTTGCCTCGTACGTTATATAAAGCAGGCTCTAAGTCACCCAACTCTTGAATAATCACACATGGTTTATGTGGAGTTTTGCCTCTGAGTTGAAACACAATCTGCAAACCTGTCATTGTGAAATGAGATGTTGTGCAGTTGACCCCTGCACATCAAACACCAGCTCTCAACTCATGTTGCACAGCGAATCCTCTTGCATAGCTTATTTCAGAGCAGGGGGTGATAATACAACCTGGTGCTTTTGTTCATGAACATACAGTGTTTTTAACCTAACCTCATAAAGCACTAAAATGAGGATGAACAGCTGTATTTAGCTGTATTGTTAGTGGAGCCTGAGTGTATCCATATGCACATTCTAGAGTAGTTAAATGTAGAAGTAATGATACGTAAAAAAGAGTCTGGTGTAGAGATACCAGTAATTTAGTTGGACAGGAAGAAAGACGTTTACCACCAAGCAGGCTGAACACTGGGCTCTAAAATAGATGTTGGTTTCAAATGAGTATTGTAAAAATCTCTGCTTTTATGGAGCACTGACAGAAGAGAAGGCAAACTTTTTTTTTGTGAGGAAATATTATCTCACTAGATTAAATTTTCTTCAAATAGTCGTCCCTCTGTCCCCTCTCTGTCTGCCTCTTTAATTTTATTTCCAGTATGAACAATGGTGCCTTTTATTTTGGGTTAATAGCAGGACTACATGAAAAATCGTCTTTGTCCATGACGCAGTCAGGGGTGGCTTTCCACGAACGGAAAGTTGGACTTCCAGTGTCTGTCACAGCAGAAAAAAGCTTGACATTTTCTTCCTGATGAATGTTGTAGCCCACTCTAATTACTTTGCAGCTAATTTTGCTTACCGTTTTGTAGTAACAGTCAGACAGGCAAGATACTGTGTAATGAAAATGTTTCCTGGCTCTTTTCATTTTTCAGTGGTGGGTGCAGATTCTTTAGCTGTGTGGAGCTGTAGCTGCTGCTGACTGAATGCAGAGGAAACACTGAAGACTGTTCTCCAGACCTCCCTGCAGCTTCAAGGGAGATTGTCAGATGTGTACCCAGCACTCAAAGCCCCCAGTGCGGCCTTGGGGATGGCAGCCTCTGCCCTGAACCTGAACGGCCTCAGAGTCATGAACAGGTCAGTTATTTTTACACTCTCTGTCTCATTTTGCCATTGTTTTAAGATAACACTGTTTTCCTGTTTACGGTAGTGGAAATATGTAGTTTGAGCATGTTTTGTCAGATTTGTTTTGTTGGAAGCTGTTAGATCAGGCTGCTGAGAATAGTTTTTTATTTTTAATACATTACAGAGCAGTTAATAAAGCTATCCAACATGTTGATTATTTACATAAAAATGTTGTCTGATCACTTGTACATTAAAAAGTTAAAGTACAACAACCTAATATCTATATATGTAACACGTTGCTATGAGTTGTAGCCTTTGTTCTTCTAAAGATGCAACCCAACCCTCTCTTCTCCACAGCAGTAACCAGTTTCACACCCAGTCAGGCTCCTCTAGCACCACCTCTCGAACTAGAACCAGCCCAGTTGCCCGACCTGTGCTGCCAGTTCCGGATAGGAGCACCTACTGCCAGTTACTGGGTGGAGGTCTCTACAGCCCAACCAGCCCCAAGGTAACTTAGTCACAACATCCACCCTAAGATGTGGTCAGACTAAACTCACGCTTTAATAAGTATGTCATAAACACTTATTTTATGGGAAAAGTGTCCTTTAATGTGGCATAATGTAAGAAATAGCACATACTGTATTTTTATTACTAATGAAAATCTGAAGTCACAAACAATAAAACATTCATTTAATGTTATCTGATATGAGCCAACATCAGATAGTTTTGTTCATTTAAATCTCTTCTACTTGTGCTTTGGTTTCATTTTGTTTACATTTTAGCATTTACTGTGATAATCCTGGTTTCCACTTGTGACTAAAGGAGCCACTGTTCAGTAAAAGTTAGATATTCTTGCTTTAAAGAAAAAACTGAAATGACTGTAAACATTAATTGAAGGAAATATAAATGACTGTTTTTGTTTGCACTGGTAGGTTTTGCAATATGGTGCCAAATAAATGAAGGTCTTTGTCTCTGCATTTGTATGAATGAATTATTTTTGAAATGCCTCTAATCCTGTCTTATGTCACTGCCTCTAGACAAGCCCCCGAGCACTGGGTCAAACGTTTGTCTTCCCCCCCCCATCCTCGCTCTCCCCTAGCTCCACCCGTCGTGCTCATTCCCCCTCCCCACGGAGCCCAGAACTTCTAGGAGTCAATGTGGGCCGGCGGGTCCGACGCCTGAGCTCGCCGGGTGGAGAAGGGAAAGGGGAAGGAGACGGGCAGGAGGAGAGCAGAGGAGAGACGGGAGGAGGAGAGAGGCGAGAGGAGAGGAGACGCCAGGCGCAGCTGCTGCAGATCCACAGAGAGCTGCAGAACGTTGAGGTGATTTTAGATGTGCCGCACTTCTTTGTCTACTTAACTTTATTTCTCTGTTCCCCTGTCTTTTGGGATCTGTCTCACTTTATACATGTACTGTGAATGATTATTACTTTATTTTAATTTGTTGGCCAAGTCAGAACAACGCCAGCTGCAGTACTCTCAGCCGACTGCAGGTTATGATCCTAAAGTTACTCAAGCTTTGAAGGCTGAGCAGAACAAAATGACAATGAGGGTGAACAACAGTTTGGTTTGATGCTCATATTTAGCTAGGAATGTTTTTATCTGATATGAACACTGGTTAAATTGTTGAAAAGAATTCAGGCAGCTTTTATTAATTAGACATCTACAGTAAATATCATCCTGCACCAAATTTATGTGACTTTTATGTGCTAGGCTAGACCAAATTGTCTTTTAGACTTGGTTTTGATACAGATTATTCTGGATTTAAAGTTACAATTAACAATACACAGTTTAGTTTAGTTGTGTAATATTATAATATCTCCATAGATTTAGTCATGATCTTAAAGAAGCACAGTTTTAGTTTCATATTTTCTTCTTTGTATTTACAGTAGCTGCAGACCAACTTACATTAGTACTCACTGTGTAACTGCTGCCAGTCACATGTTGAAATTGTAGCTTGCCAACAGTTCATTTTTCAAAACAGTTTGTTTTTTTCCAAGCAAGGCAAAACACTGGAGTCTGGGCTTGTTCTTTTTTTATTTTCTTAATATGGGTAGCATATTGTCCAGGATGTACCCCGCCTCTCGCCCACTGTCAGCTGGGATTGGCTCCAGCCAGTGTTATTTTGTCATATTTATGTCAGCATACCTGTTAATCAATATGGAAGGGCAGCCTGCCCTATAAAATAAAGCAAATATGAAAAAAGCATGAAAGTAAATGTCTCACAGTTAGACCAAGGAAGCTAAAGCTGTGGAAGTTTTAATTCTCTCTGTCTTTTAGGTCAGGGGAAAAGTCGGCATTTTTGAGGCCCACATTTCTGGAATTCGTGCCCAGGTGCTTAACAGCGAGCTCCAGCGCAGCCCTCGATCTCCGAGACGATCGACTAGCCAAACACCTTCCCAACCCAGCCAAGGAAATAAAGCCCTTGAATGCCTAATGACTCACCCACAAGAGAACCAGATTCCCTCGTTTGTCCAAAATGGTAGAGAAATGGGGGAAGAAACATCAGAAAGAGAAAGGAGAGAAGGAGAAAAGAACGATGGCAAGGACAGCATTGCTGCCAAAATGGTCATGGAGAAGACACTGATTGGTCACCATGGCCATCATTCAGAAACAACAATGCAAACTCCCTGTATAGATGGACCGTTTATTGTTCGGAGTTCCCTTGAGACATTTTCAGATGCAACAACAGGCAGAGAGAAAAAAGAGGGAGAAAGACCAGGAGAAAAGGAAAGAGGGGAGGTAGAAAGCAAACAAATGTTGGGAGACGAACAAAAACAGACTGTGAAAGAAGCAAGAGCTGAGAAAGAGGGCCAGGTGTGTCCTGAGATGCTGCTCAAGTCAGAGGCAAACAGGATGGAGGATAACCCAGAAACCTGTGCTTTATCTCAGGCACAAAGCAGTGAGCACTCGCTTTGCTTGCTGGGCATCACCAATTACACCTCCAACCACTCTCCCTCCATCCCTGCAGTCATAATAACTGACCATGGTTTAGAAAGCCCTGGCACAGACCAGGGACTATGCTTCACCCCTAGCCCCTCTTCAAGCCCTATCCCTGGACTGAACTCATCCAGTTGCTCCCTCAGGAAGCTGTCATCCTCTTCTGCCTCCTCAGCCGGTTTCTCCTCATCTTGGGAGGAATCAGAGGAGGATATTTCCAGTGATACAGAGAAAGGGGAGCATCTTCTCAACCCTGTGCTCCTCAGTACTCAACAGAGAGCAGTAAGTACAGCCAAGAAAAGGCATGTCTGCTTATGAGTGTACTTGTTTGTACAACATGCTTGAGATTCAGCGAAACATCTCAACACTGACATGAAATTTTAAATCAGACATTTATACCATGTGCCCCTAGGATGATTTATAACTTATAATCACTTTGTTATTTCCCATGACCTTTCATCTAACATCAGTCATTTGTCCAATACTTTCCTTTATGACACACTTTCATATTATTAGCCTCGACTGTAAATTGTGTATGGTGCTAATTAGCAAATGTAAACATGCAACCGCGCTAAAGTGAACGTGGAAAATGCGTCTGACAAAGGTTGTGTACTGTTCCACTGCAGAACTGATGATTTTTGCAAGTAATCTTGCCAAACCTGGGAAAGTGTTTGCCTTGACATTAGTTTGTGCTACCAGCCATGCCTGAATGTGTGTGTCTGTCAGCATGTATATGTGTTGTGTGTTTGAATGTGCCTCTGCATGTGACTGGTTGCTCCTGTGTCTATTGGCTTGAGATGTCTCTCTGAGTAAACCTTGACATTCACAGTAACAAAGCTAGCTCTGTGCCCCGACCTGTGTGTGTGTGTAGGTGTGTTTTGCAGTGTGTGGGTAATGTGAGGGTGTACGTGAAAGTCGCAGAAAAGGAAAAGCAGAGAGAATTTGCCAGTCACACACACTTACTGTATGCTTTGCATTTGGATGCAGTTCAAAGAGGAGGCTGAGTCCTGTTTGGGTATGTTTGTATGTAAGTGGGTGGGTTGATGTGTTTTATTTGTAGCCAACAGCAGTTCACAAGGCCATCTCACTTCTGCTTTGAAACATGATTTCATGCAGGGTTGTACTGTATAACTTATTTCACAAGTGTTTCTTAACCTTTGTGCCAGTCCTTATAGTGTCCCCTTTTTGGAAGCTTCATGGAATCACAATCTTTTCTTCCCGGGTTTCTTGCTCAAAGAATAAAGTAAAGAATTTGAATATGCCATTTCAGTCAATACAGCATCTCCATATTTTCAGGTATATTTTTGAGACAAGGCATTTTTGATGCAAGTTTACAAACTTGCTTTCACTTTAAAGCAGCTTAGAAAACATAAACATTCTTGTTATGATCATACTGCAGAGCAGGGCTCATGGGTAGCTGCTTTGTCTGATTGTTTTTCACATTGTGCAAAGTGATGGATGCGGTTTTCCTGCATATTGAATCATATAACCCATCCATAAACCACAGTTCCAACTCTCCCAGGAGACATAGATCCCAAACTATTTGTTTAAATGAATTTGGCTGATTTAATTTGAATAGTGTTTGTGTTGCTCTTTGCATATTTCCAGGGATTGTTTTTTGGTTGTCTGTGTGTGTGAGCTTTACCTAGTAAAAGAAAGAGACAGAACGTCCTTTCAGCTGAATGAAGGGCAGAGTCAATACTTACTAGTAAAAGTCTGGGTTTCCCTGTTCATAACGCAAAGATGTCAAATGTGAGGGTTACTTACATTCTTGTCTGTAGCTTGTCACAGCTCCTGATCCGTAGTTTAAAGAAACCTGGTGTACATGTACAAGAGGCAAACATGCAGAAACACATAAAGCAGGCTTGCTCATGTGGGAGGTATGTAGGAGAGAAGAGAGGGGTGATACTGTGAGAGGAGGAGAGAGAAGAACAGAGTGAGCTCAACTGGCAGAGAGAAGACAAAAGAAAGCACAAAACAAAAAGTTGACATACAGTAGCTCTTCCTCTTGTGGTTATTTATTGTAGGAATGACTTAACTTTCTTTGGCATCTCCTCTGGAACATTTAAACATGTATTAGGTAATACACAGATGTACTTACACACACCAATATTACAGAGAAAGACAAATAAGGAAGAAAAGACCATTGTCTGCATGCTTAGTGGAAAAACAAAAGTCACAGACCAGTGCTCTCGGCAGATCACATTTGTCATGGTTATAGGTTTACATTTTGTATTTAAGAGCTCATTGTGGATGCATGTGTTATCCCGTGAACTGAATTCACCATTCATTATGTTGTGTTTATACCACAATAGTTTTAATTAATTCTCCTTTGTGTCCCTCACCAAAGTAAGCATGATATTTTTACTTTTCATATAAGTCAAACATGTCTGCTTTGTTATGCCCATTGGCTTTTGGATTATGTCAACTCATTTTTTAGGGTCTGCACACTTAAGTGGTAGAGGCTGGAACCTGAACAGAGCCATATATAGACATGATTTGGCAGATTGTTTGACTGTTGGGCATCTCTCCAAGGTTACAAGGCACAAATGTGCTGCCAGCATTTTTGTATGTTGGCGGTGAAAGGGCACCTGCGATAGATAGACATCTCTGGGTTTCTTTTTTTTTTTCTATAAAATTTCAGTTGAGGTCTGTGGAAGTCTGTGTCTAATTCACTTTAAGCATCGACACCCAATAGCCATAGATGAAAATTCACAGAGATCTGTGGAAATGTCGGACATAAGCAAATAAATCCAGTCTCATTTCATTAGCCTAATAGTTAGTCAACTTTGTTAATTATTTAACTTGTTATTACTGTATTTTCTGTTAACTTATTTGTCAAGTATAAATGCCAAACATGTCCTGGTTCCAGCTTCTAAAATATGAAGACATGCTACTATTCTCTTGTTAATGTCAGAATACATGGAATATATTTAGTATTTTGGACTTTTGTAGTGGCAGAACAATATAACTTAAAGATGACGCTGTGGACTCAGAAATTGTTATTGGTTATTTTTCACTTTACTGGCAAGTTTTAGTATAAATAGACAGCATTTTATTATTTTTTATAAGATCTAACTGTCAACATTTGTGGTGGAGCTGTGTTTAAACCCAGACAACACATAGAAAACGCCAGCATCATGTTTCAGCATTTAGAAAAACCGATGAGAGAAATTATAGCAAGTGGAGCAGAAGCTACGGTAGAACGGAAGTGGGGCAGGACTGATGAAGGGCTTTCTTTGAATGATGCAGAAGGTGTGTTGTTAATCATGGTTTCTTTACTGTAAGTAAACGCCGGGCTGCTGAACATTAGATTCACCTCAGGTTCTTGACAACATTTACTCATTAAATAAACATACATTAAATAAACAGATTCTTTGGAAAATAAGACTACACCCTTACTTCTGAACTACAAAAAACACACACACATATGCCAACTTTGACACACCTTCTGTACACACCATAGTACAGCTTTTGCTAAATTCACAGAACTCAAAAATACCGCACACACACAGAAAGTGTTTTTCTGGTATTCTCTCACAACCTCAACTTATGGCACCAAGACTCACATGATTTTTCATGATCCTTTGAAATGTGGTCAGACAAATGGCCCAAACATTAATCTTCCCCAGTCCGGGTTTATCCTCCGCTAATCCAACCCGGACTCTGACCTCAATACCAAAAAAAAAAAAGAGTGTTTGTGATGGACTGCACTGGACAAAAAGTCATTTTTATGTCCTGTAGCTCAAGTGGGTTGGCACAAAATATTAGAACACACACACACCAATACTGAGACGTACACACACTGTCTGTACTGCAATGGAAAATCTTTGCTACCACGGCGGCCAGTTGCCTAGCAACCCTGTGACGTCAAACCGAGTTTCCCTCTCACAGCTGTGTGTGTGTGTGTGTGAGACAGAAAGTCTGTAAGTTTATGGGTGTGAGTCTAAATCTTTTGTGTGTCTTGCAGGGTGCCTCCTTGCTTTACTGTGAAAGGGGAAACACCGGTCAATTCTTAATTTGGTGTTTCTGGTGAGGTTGTTTGTGAAAGCGCACACAGTATGCGTGTTTGTAGTGCCAGGGGTGAGCCAGGTTGGCCTGCAGTCAATGATGCTATGTTTGAAGAGTATCTTTAGCAGTCCAGTGCAGAAGTGGAGTGTGGTTTCATTTGGTTTCGGTGCTGTCAGAAACATGCCAGGGAAGCCCTGCTGGTTGTGATGCATGAACGCAAAGATAAATGTAGTAAAGGCCTCCTAGCCTGGAGATCCAGCAGCTTATCAGAATTTATTAGAATTTCTGTCCGATTTGTTAGATTCATATTAATGTGAACATGCTTTTCTGCTATTAGGTGAGAAGGCTAAGAATCCCCCAACACCTCTCTGGTTTGTTTAGCTTAATTCAGGGTGTTTCAGAGTCACGACTAGATCTGAAGGCCAATATCCTCTTTAATGTTCTGTAGTGACCTCAATTTGGAAACAACTACACTGTTTAGTTACAACATAACTTAACACCCACATCACAAACATCTGACTCTTCTTTTTCTCATCTTTGTAGCGCAGTTTGCAAAGCGGTCAAAGTAACCTTTGCAGAGTTTTCCACTGGTCAGCCTTGGTTGCTAAGAGATTTTGTCATGCGCTTACTGAGCATGCTATTTAGCTTGCATCACACTCCCTGCAGTTTAATTTTGTTTCTATTGTGGTGTGGGTGTGTGTCCCTCGTTCTAAACTTTGCAGACTCAGGCAGTTGCAGTATTTGTATCTGCAAGGGGACCTTGTGGTGAGCAATATCAGGCTTGTTGTTTCCTCAGTGCTTCTCTATTGAAAACATCAGCATGCATCAGTGTTTCCCCTGCCTTTTCACTTTACACATTTGTAACCCAGGGTTACCCTTTGCCCAGGTTTCTTTTTTTCTTTTACCATTCTCACCACTCTCAGTCTCTCTTTACTCCTTCCTCCTTGCATGCAAATGAGTGTGTGCATTGTTTGGGACAACACCTTTTTCAGTACTTCATGTGGTAACTGCAAAATATGATCAGTAATGTTCCATAAATAAATGCATGTTGTATGAAATCATATCTGCATATATGTGTGTGTGTGTGTGTGGGTGTTGAAAAACATGATGCACACTTCTTGAGACAGCAGTCAAGGGGCCAATGAAAACTCTTCTTCTTGCTGCTTGTTTCTTCCTCTATCCTCTTTTTGTTGTTTACAGAGGGCAAGGCCTTTTTTCTTTCTTTTGTTTGTAGTCAGCGGCGGATGTGGAAAATACTGTCGCTGAGGCAA